AAATTATAAAAAAATGATAGAATCATTTCAATTGATGCAAAAAGAACTTTTGGTAAAATTCCAACATAAATTACTGATAAAAACTTTAAGCAAAGTAGGCCTAGCATAGAACGTCCTCAACTTAATGACAGGTATTTATAAAAAATTACAGATAACATTATACCTAATAGTAAAGGATCTAATAGTAAAGGACTTAATGCTTTCCCCCATGAGATTAGGAATAAAGCAAGTATATACCTTTCCTCTAATTCTAGTAGCATTTTCCTGGAGGTTCCAGCCATTGTCATAAGGCAAAAAAGAAATAGAAAGCATTCAGACTACAAAGGAAGAAGTAAAACTACATTTATTCATTGACAACATAATTGTCCATATTTTAAAAATCTGTTAGACTTGGCATGCCTGGGTGGCTCAGTTGGTTAAGTGTACGACTCTTGGTTTTGGCTCAGGTCATAATCTCAGAGTCATGAGATTGAACACCGTGTTGGGCTCCACGCTCAGCAGGGATTCTGCTTGAGATTCTGAGATTCTCTTTCTCCTTCTCTCTCTATCCCTCCCTTCACCCCTCACTTGCTGTCTCTCTCTCAAAAATAAATAAATCTTTTTAAAAATCTGCTAGAATAATTCTAATTTAACTAATTGGAATTAATTCCTATAAGTGAGTTTAACAAGGTTGTAGGGTAAAAGATCAATTTATAAAAGTCAGTTATATAGCAATAAATAGAAAATGAAATTATAAAACTACCATGTACAATAGGATCAAATGAAATATGAAATAATTAAGGATATTATGTGCATGTCCTTCACTCTGACAACTATAAAACATTGCTGAAAAACTAAAGACCTAAAAAAATGGGGAGCTATACCATGTTCAGTGGTCAGAAGACTCAATATTGTTAAGATGTCAGTTTTCTCATACTGATCTATAATTGAACACAATCCCAATAAAAACTGCAGCAACCTTCTATTGGTGAGATAAGATGTCTCCAAAATTCATAGGAAATACAAAGCACCTAGAAGAGCCAAAACACCTTTCAAAAGAAAAAATCTGGAGAAAAAACACTGTCTGATTTTAAGACATTAATTTGTTGCAACAATCAAAATAAACATTGTATTAGTTCAAATATGGAGAGACATCCGTGGAACTGAATACAGAATCCAGAAACATACCAACACATAAACAGACAACTGATTTTCTACAAAAGTGAAGAGGCAATCCCGTGGAGAAATGACTATCTTTTCAACATATGGTGCTGGAACACAAGGATCTCCATATGCAAAAAATGAACACCATTTTTGAAAAAAAAATGAACACATATTCAAAAATACCTCAAAATAGACTATAAGCCTAAATTTAAACCCTAAAGCTGTAAAACTTCTAGAAGAGAATGTAAGAATATCTTTGTATCCTTGGATAGGCAACTATTGCTTAAATGCAATGCCCATATACACGATCCTTAATGTAACAAATTAACAAACTTTTTTTACTTTCAATATATCAAAGTAAAAACTTCTGTTATATATACACCATTATTAAGATAATAAAAAGTCAGGCAACAAGCTAGGAGAAAATAAAGAGAAATCATATTTTATTAAGATCTAAGGGGGCACCTGGGTCACTCAGTCATTTAAGCGTCTGACTCTTGATTTTGGCTCAGGTCAAGATCTCAGGGTTGTGAGATCAAGTCCTTATCGAGCTCTGGATTTAGTGGGAGTTTGCTTGAGATTCTTTCCCTCTCCCACTGCCTTTTCCCCTACTTGCATATGTTCTCTCTCTAAATAAATAAATAAAAATCTTTTAAAAAAGGAAAGAAGTTGTACCTAAAATATATGCAGAACTCTCAAAACTCAATAATAAGAAACCACACAGCCCATAAAAAATTTTGACAAAATGTTTGAACAAGCACTTCATCAGTGAAGGTATATGGGTCATAAATAAGCACAAGGACAGATGCTCAATATCATTAATCATTAGAGAAATGCAAATCAAAACCACAATAAGGTAACACCATACACCTGCTAGAAAAGATAAAATTTAAATGACTGACCACACCCACTGCTGGTGAGGATATTATTGGAGCACCTAGAATGCTCAAATACAGCTGGTAGAAATGTTAACAGTCAAATCTCTTAGAAAAACAGTTTGGTAATCTCTCAAAAATTTAGACATGTATCTACATAGGATCTGCCCATTTCCCTTTCAATATTTACCTAAAAATGAAGCATATGTCTATATAAAGACTTATATTGAAAGTTTACAGAAGCTTTCTTTGTAATAGCCCCAAACTGGTCATAACTTAAAAGTCCATCAATAGGCTAAAGGATAGATTGTGCTATACCCATACATAGAATAATAGTAAGCAGTAAAAAGAAAGAACTTCTTTCATTTAGCATAATGTCCTCCAAGTTCTTCCACCCTTTTGCAAATGGCAGGATTTCCTCTTTTTGGAAGTCTGAATAATATCCCTTGTGTGTTTGTGTATATATATTTTTTCTTTATTTGTATATCCATTTGTATATTCGTATATGTGTATCTTTATCCATGTATATATAGGTATTTTCTTTATCCATTAGCCCACTGAGGGACATTAGGTTACTTCTGTGTCTTGCCTATACTTATATGTGAAGAATCTAAAATAGCCAAATGAATAGAAATAAAGAACAGAATGGTGGCTGCCAGGGACTGGTGTAAAAGGGAAATGGGGCAGTATTAGTCCAAGAGTACAAAGTTCAAATTGTGCACAATAAGTCCTAGAGATCGGGGCACCTGGGTGGCTCAGTGGGTTAAAGCCTCTGCCTTTGGCTCAGGTCATGATCTCAGGGTCCTGGGATTGAGCCTCGAATCGGGCTCTCTGCTTGGCAGGGAGCCTGCTTCCCCGTCCCCCTCTGCCTGCCTCTCTGTCTACTTGTGATCTTTCTCTTGTGTCAAATAAATAAAATCTTTAAAAAAAAAAAAGTCCTAGAGATCTACTGTACAGCATAGAGTCTGTATTTAATAATCTTGTGTTATATACTTAAAAATCCATTAAGTGGCAGGATCTTAAATGTTATCACATAAGTAAATAAATGAAGAGGGCAGGGGGAACTTCTGGAAGTGAAGGATAGGTTTATAGCATACATTGTGGTGATGGCTTCAAGGATTTATACTTATCTCCAAGTCTTGTCAAGTTGCAGGTGTTAAATGTATACAGCTTTTTGTATTCTATTTATACAATCAATAAAATGGTTTTTTAAAAAATAAGAACGATTGTTACACAAAGCGACATGGCTTAATCTCAAAATAATTATGCTGAGTGAAAAAAGCCATACAAAAACTAATAGATACTGTATGATGCGGTATATAAAATTCTTTTTTTTTAACGTACTCTATAAGATTTTGAAAAATGCAAACTCATAGTCTAAAAGCAGAACCGTGCTTGCCTGGGGATTGAGGAAGGGCAACAGGTAGAAGCATGAGAGAGAAATTACAAAGCGGAAGACCCAAAACTTTGGGGGCTGTTTTTTATCATCTTGATTAATGATATTTCACTTGTATATTCATTTGCCAAAACTTATCAAATTGTACACTTTAAATACGTGCAATGCATTATGTACCGCAACATTTTCTTTTTTTTTTTTTTTTAAGTGGCATTAGTTTCTGCAGGAGACTACATTATAAATAGGGCATAAGGAAGGAGAGATGAAGTACAGACTACTCTCTCAAGCAGTTTAGTTTTAGACTGGAAGAAGGAGACTAAAATAACCAGATAGAAAGTTGGGTTAATGTACTTTAAGATGGGAGGAGCTTAAGTATATTTATTTGCCACAGAAAAGAAGTGGAGAAAACAGAGTTGAAAACGTAGGAGTCAAGAGTCAGCTGATTGTGGGCTGAAAAACCTATGAAAAAAAAGAAGTCTTGAGTAGGAGGAATCTTACAGGTACACAGGCAGGTATATGTTGTTTTGGGGGTAGAATGTGCAGGACTGGACTAAAGAGTCGGTAGAGTTTCAGTTGTTCATTCTATCTCTTCAGTTTTTGGAAAGAATGAGGTATGAGAGGGGTGGGATACGAAAGAGGAATAGTGGAGTTTTGGAAGACCCACTGGCCACAGCACTGGCTACAGTGGTTGGAGAGAAATTTCCATCTAGGAGCATTCATCTGTAATAGAATGGCAGACCATAAATATTTTAAGTCAACAAAATAACTATCATTTATGCATGTACACAATGGATTATTATCTACTAGTTCTTCCCTGCTCTCTCTGCCCCTAACCAAATTTCACTTATGTGCTAATCTTTCCGCTGAGCCCATGCCCTTTTCCCTCAACACACATTTTAACAAACTCTTTAATTTTATTGGGAAATACTTCTAACATACACATGAAAATAGAGAATACTTTAGTGAACAGCAATGTTCTACCATCCAGCTTTATCAAATCTCAACACTATACCACACTGCCCTCACCTAACACAATCCTTAGACCAAATACAGGGTTACTGGACAAGAGAGGTTTCATCACCAGCAAACATCAACAGGCTCACTTACTTTTCATATTTCATACATTTCATGAATAATGCCCAGAGCACCTGTGAGAACTTCAGCATTTCTGTGGGTAGGCACAAATCAAATATGGCCAGAAATGGCCACTGGCAAGCTAATTAGGTGGTTCCCTTGAAACGAACCATTAACTGTTAAAGCAATGCAAATTAGATCACACCCACAGGTCCTAGGTCTGGAAAAAAATGCTCTGGCAAAGTACGAATTTTTAATAAAACTGGTAATTATGATTCACAGCACGGATCCTATTTTTCTTTAGCATTCTTACGTTCACTGCCACTTTGGCATTGGTAAACATGGGAAGGCTAATAAAAAATATTTTTCCTCACCTCATGTAAAATTTCTGAAGCTGAAAGCACGAAGTCAGTTTCTAAAGAAAGAGCTTTATTCTTTAAGCAGCCATAAATCATCCATTAAGTAGAAACAAAAACCAAACCAAACCACAGTCCAAATGACAGAGATATTACCTGCCAGAACAGACTGTGGGCATCTCCTCTCAGAAGTTCGACTATATCCCCTGCCTGGATATGCAGTGGGGGTCCTTCATGAAGAGCTGGGAGCGGTACTCCTGTATAGTTCTTAATGGCCTGCATCTTTGGTAAGCCTGAAAATAAGCAACACAACTTTTAGAATTCAGAAAATAATGACATGTGAAGCCCGAATGTACTTTAAAGTAAGAACAAGGCCATTAACATTATCAAGGTTTAATAGCACCAAGGCCACATAAACATTTGAAGTAACTACAATGGAATGCTTTTCAACCTTCTTATTATTTGAGAAGGTAATGGAATAAGACACATATTTATCTCCTGATCCCTTACATACTTTTCCTCTCCCTCACCATCAATCTCTTTTTAGTTGAAAAAATATTTCTTTCAGCTGATGCCTGCTTCATAAAAAACATATCACGTACAGTTTAATGGAAAAGAATCAATTTTTTCATCAACTCTATCCTTTCTGCCTATTACTTTCCTCTTGGGCACTGGCTGATTTCATCACTAAGGAGGCTCACCCTTTCTGTGTATGTATCACAGTGCCCAGTATAAGGCTCATATCTTAAGGTTATATTTGTAATTCAAAAGCAAAAAGGTGATGGATGTGCCACCGCAATACTTAAGACATTTATATGGAGAAATTCTTCAGGCTCAAATTTAGGCTTGCAAAACAGACCCAATAAAAGGAGCATGTCTAAGCCAATAGCATCAACAACACTTGAAATACAGATCCATCCTTTTTCTTTGTATTTCGAAGAACGTGCGATGAAGGTCTCAGTTCAATATTTCATTTTTGAGAACAGCTTCAACTGCATCCAAGTCTAACTATACCAATACTGGTCACAAACGGACAACTTCACAGTCACCTTTTATTTTATAGATGAGATGCTCCCTCCTGTGAGAAAGAACACTCAAAAACATGACATCTTGTGCATATTCAGGGACTCGAGCCATTGCTTATTACACATGTCAAGACTTTTTATTCCAATGATTGACCATGGTAAAGCTGCAACTTGCTGGAAATGCTATGCCCAATAGAGTAGGAGAATGTGTGGTAGTCCTTCAGTTCTAGATGTCCAAGTTACCTAGAAAAGGTTGTCCAGTTACACATACCTCAATACCTACGTGAAATGCTCCTGCAAACAATTTAATAGAGTCCTCATAATCCTCTTTCAATAACCATCCCAGATGGAAGAAAGCAAGTAGAGCTGTAAATTAGGCAGAACTGAAAAGCGTTAATCAAGACCTTCTTATCAACTCATCCATCAGAAGGCAGGAGGACTGAAAAACGTTGGACCCTTCACCCCAACTTAGCTGCTGTAACTGCTGAGGCATGTTACGAGTTGCTACATCTCTCCTTTGCTTCAGTTCTTGTGCCCCAGGACCCCTGGAGGGATGACTTTCATCCCACATCTTTCATGGAGTGTTTCCCGACCAGATGCCCTTACACAAACAGCAGACTTGATTGTCTTTCCCAAAAACAACACTCGACAGAACTCTTCTCAGTCAAGTGTTTATCAGACTTGCTCTCAACACAGTATATGCCTTGAGTAGAGAAAAAAGCTTATTTTATGTTTTCTATCAAGTTGCTGTTGTTTATTTTATATGAGACCTAAATATTTCCTGCACACAACTGATATAGTTATTCCATGCTGGGGGGCCAGAGTTGTGGTTAGCCTCAGTTTTTTGTTGTTGTTGTTGTTGTTGTTTTGTTTTTTAAAGATTTTATTTATTTATTTGACAGAGAGAGAGAGAGATCACAAGTAGGCAGAGAGGCAGGCAGAGAGAGTGGGGGAAGCCGGCTCCCTGCTGAGCAGAGAACCAGATGTGGGGCTCGATCCCAGGACCCTGAGATCAAGACCTGAGCCAAAGGCAGAGGCTTAGCCCACTGAGCCACCAAGGGGCCCCTAGCCTCAGTTTTGTTGAACATTCTTAGAACAAGGAAAGCATTTCATTAGTAGGCTCCCTTGATAGTTTGTTTTTATGTCAATTTTAAAATAAAGGCTAAAGACAAGGAATAAGAGTTTTTAAACCTGAAATAACTGATGTGGCCTCAAAGACTGGGACCAGTGAAATGCTTGGAAGGGCTCTGACCTTTCCTGCAGTAGACCCACAGAGACAGAACCAAGCAGTGCCTGATAGAAACAATATATCTGTGATTGCCAACATGCCCAACATAGTCCATTCTCAAGAACATGGCTGAAAAACCATAAAGTGTCTAAAGAAAAAAAATTAATTACATCTCACCAACCATATATAAATTAGCGGTTAACATATGGCATACCCAGGTGACAAAGAAGGCTGTGAAATGTAAGATATGGAACAATGCTGCCTTATTTATCTTTTTTGATGGACTGGAATGCCCATTACACATAGCCTACTAAAATCCTACTTAAAATTTGAAGTCTTACATATATTAATATGCTCTGGTCAGGAAATGAGGCCTCAGTAGTCTTAAAGCTTACTTAGAACTAAGTTGTCTTTGAAATGATGGACTTGGTTTTTTTTAGTCTTACTTATTGCTAAATTTTTCATTTACTGTATCTCTTCTGCTATAACCTTCTTCTTGGTTATAAACTTCACTTGGGAAGTTGATCTAGTAAGCACACTAGCATAGGGTATGTTGCTGACCTCATTCCTAAAACTGAATTGTGTGCTCTTTGCCAAGAGTGATGGTTGAGCCTGGGTAATAGCCAAAAAAGACATTGTTACTAACTTGAATTCGTCCATAAGTGACTTTGAAAATGCAGCATTTATTTGATTCTTTTTTTTTTTTTTTTTTTTTTTTTTTTGTGGGATGAGTTAGGAGTTTATAATGGAATTTATATTTTTTAGTCATTTCTTAGAATAATCTCTGGCTATTTACTTCTGATAGGTCAGCACTTCCCATTTCAGGATGATCTGTCATCGGGTCAACAGGGCTCCAGAGATCAAAGAATAAAAGGGATCCAGCAAGGCCACTGTGACATAATGAATTCTGACACCTTGATCTTGCCGCTGGTGCTTGTATATAATAGGAGTGCTAGGATACTGGTGTTCGGAATGGCTTATATTCCTCCTTTTTATAAAAAGAAAGAAAGAAAGAAAGAAAGAAAGAAAGAAAGAAAGAAAGAAAGAAAGAAAGAAAGAAAGAAAGAAAGAAAGAGAGAGAGAGAGAAAGAAAGAAAGGGAGGGAGGGAGGGAGGGAGGGAAAGACAGACAGACATGGTAACATTGCTAAGAAGGTGAACATAATCCCATTAATGGATAGATAAAAATGCAATTAAAGAAGAGAGATTGGGTTAAACTTCATGTCAGCACTCAACCATCAATATAATTGTTAACACAGTCTAATGCCAGGCAGGCATCACACCTCATAAATGAGATCAAGAATGGAGAAGAAATTAGATTTACAGATCCTCATATTTCAAGTAGCCATTTAGTGTTGATTTACTGCAGGTTTTCCTCTCTCCTTATAAAATATTCCTGACAGGTTCTTTCTTTTTTTTTTTTTTTTTTTTGGATTTTTTTTTAATTTTTAATTTTTTATTTTTTATTAACATATAATGTATTATTAGCCCTAGGGGTACAGGTCTCTGAATTGTCAGCCTTACACACTTCACAGCACTCACCATAGCCCATACCCTCCCCAATGTCCATAACCCAACCACCCTCTCCCTACCCTCCTACCCCCAGCAACCCTCAGTTTTTGTGAGATTAAGAGTCTCTTGAGGTTTGTCTCCCTCTTCCTGACAGGTTCTAACCTCTCTTTAAAAATGTCCAGTAGAGAACATTCACTACATGATACTATACAACCCAATGAGTTATCATTGGGGTGTATAGTATACACTATAACTCATTGGGGTGTATAGTTTATTAACAAACTCTATCTAAAATTTACTCCAAAATCTCTGTGTTACTTCTCTCCATTGACGGGCCTCCTTCCATCTGGAGTTACGCTGGAGGTGTCAAATTTCCTTTTTATACATTAGCCTTTCAAAATTTGTTCAGGCTTAAAATCCATAGTTATTCATATTTTCCTTTAGCTATCCATACGTCAAGGAATTCTAAAATGCAAAGCATTATAAATCTACAAAAGTAGATGACAGTTTTTCTCACTAACTCTGATCAAACAGAAATAAATAACCAAAAGTTATTCTAAAAACTGATTTTAAAAATATAAATTCCATTATATTATAAAATTACAACTCATCCCAGAAAACAGCTTCTTTCTTCTTGGGTAACACAGACCCAAGCACTGTTCAGTTTCTTTCTGCTCCAGAATAGCATTTATAGTGCATAGACTGGTATAGTTACAGGGCTGCTCATCAAAATCTGAAAATTTATCATGCAACTACCTGCAGATATTAAATGCAAAAAATCATATATAATTCCAACATGTACAGTTAAGCAATGTAGGAAGTTCCCGAAACTTTATATAATGACTTATCTTTATCTAAAGGAATATAATTAAAATGGCTAAGACTAATTAGTGCTCCTGCCAAATGTTATTTTAGCTTGTTTCATTCCCTACAGCAAATACGTTGCTGTGCAGCTAACTACATCCTTGATATATAACTTCTGGACAGTTTTGCCCTTTAACTTTTGTTCACACTAGTCATTATACTTAGTCTTAAATCAGACAAGGTTCCCAAGTCATCTTATGCATGAATTAACAAACTGAAGAATCGGCAATATTAAAATTATGGCTATACTCCAGTACCAGTCATCAGGTTCCAGTTAAATAAAACTGAAGCCAATGTAATTACAAGGCATACTAGAGCTTTCCAAAACAATATGCAAGTGAAAGGGGATCTGAAGCAAGATTTCCTTCCAAGTTTGAATCCAATGCCACTAAGAATGGCACATGCCAAGAAATTTTTAAAAAATAATTTTTTTAAAGTTAATTCTAAGCAGAACCCTATCTAAAAGTTCGCCAGATATAAACTATTTCATGAACAATTTTCACATAAACCCTCAAAATTCAATGAACAGCCTACTGTACCACTATCAACCACTTGGCTTCTAAGAAGAGTGATGGCCACAACATAGATTAGTGTTTAAACACAATGCTGATATCACTGTTCTAACGCAACGGGCTTCCCCGGGACAATAACTTGGAGAAGAGTTA